AGGGTTGCACTGTAGGAGACTGAATGACAAGTGGCATTACTGATGCATCAGGTCAATTAGAATGATAAAATCCTAAAGATTGGAAAAGAGCTCTAAGATAATCTAGCCCAGTGTCAACCCATCCCTGCTGTGCCACTAAGCCGTGTCCTGCAGTGCCACGCATACCCTTCTCTAGTAAACCCCCTGGGATGGCAACTCTGCCACCTCCCTCGGCAGTCTGTTCCAATGTCTGATCACTCTTTCTGAATGAATTCTTCCAAATATCCGACCTGACCCTCCCCTGGTGCAACTAAGCCCACTACTTCTCATCCCATCACAAGTCACCTTGTGACTTTCACAGATAACCTCACCTACAGAGACAGCAGTTCCACAAACTGTCCAAAACATGTGACAAAAGCAGAGGCCGACTCTCCTTACTACAGTGTCTCCCCTGAGCCTCTTCTCCAGGCCGAACGATCCCAGCTCCCTCAGCTGCTCCCCATAACACTTTTGCTCCAGACCTCTCACAGCTTCACTGCTCTTCTCTGGACACACTGCAGGTCTTTCTGGCAGTGAAGGGCCCAACAGTGAGCACAGCGCTTGAGGTGTGGCCCCACCAGAGCTGAGTACAGAGGGTCCATCACCTCCCACGCCTGCTGGCTCTGCTGTTTCTGACACAAGCCAGGATGCCGTTGGCTTGCTTGGCCACCTGGGCACGCTGCTGGCTCATGTTCAGCCAGCTGTCCATGAGCAGTGCAGGATTGTCTGCCTCATGGAGAGGACAGGACAGCAGGGAGGCAGAAAGTGGTGGAGCTGCTCTTAGCCAGTGATGCTCCTAGATTCCACGAAGCTGTAGCCTTGACTTTTCAGCTCTTCCCTTCAGCCCTTAGTCTGGTGTAGATCATTAGACTATTAAAACTTGTTTGCTGAAGCTAACCTCTGAAGCTGTGGTATTTCTGCCACTGCCTGGAAGATTCTTACCATTCCTGAGTAGAAATGGCAGCAGAAAAACAACCACAATTTAAAAGTACTTAATTGCAGTCTGCAGCAGGAGACTTGGAGCATTTGGGTTGAGCTGCATGACAGCATTTGCATGGAAGGAGTCCTGTGGTGAGGCTTAGGGGCAGTCGGTAAAGCTGCAGCACAGATGGCCTGCTTTTGTCATACATTTTGGACATTTGTGGAACTATTGTCTCTGTAGGTGAGGTATCTGAAAGCACACTGGTAGTAAAATAATTAGATAAATTAAAGCCTCCCTTGGTTTTGTGCAGTCAGGCAGTGGCTAAGGAGTGTTCACAGGATCACAAAGCCTTGTGATGAACAGCCTAGGAGCTTCTTAAACCCCTTTGTCACAAGCGTGTCCCATTGGTTGCATCCCTGATGTGTCTGATCATCTCTCTGCAGATCCTGCTCATCTCGGATTACTTCTATGCCTTCCTCCGGCGGGAGTACTACCTCACTCATGGACTCCATCTGACAAGGCAGGATGGGACAGAGGCCATGCTTGTTTTGAAGTAAGGGTTGAATCCACTGTTTCTTGGGCCATGGACTACTTTAAGGAACATGTGAAGCTGGGTGTATATGGGGTGGGTGGGGAAGGTTCCCTGGATGAGGTCTGGCTTTGGGGATGATACCTACCAAAAGAATGGGCTGCAGTTCTTCTGGGAGCACCCTCTGCAGCAGCGGACACAGTGCAGGCTGAGAGCTGCAAGAGCTGCAAGAAGAACCTTCACCGGAGAATCTCCCTTCTTCCTTCAGCTGTGCTTTTCACTGAGACCTCAGCCATCAGTTCTGGGCAGTCCAGCAGGAACTGGAGCAAGCATTTGAGCTAAAAACAGGGCTCAATCTCTGGACCAGAAACTGCTCAGACCATTAACTGTTTTCTTTACGTCACTGCTTCTTGAAAATGTTTGCTTCTCCTGGAAATTTCCCTGTCACAGCTTCTACTGGTAATGCTCCTGTTTGACACGAGAACATCTGGGTGCCTGTGCCAAAGGCCTGCCTGCTGTTGCGGGTTCTGGAAAAACCATGTGCTCAGGCACAGGGGCAGTTTTTGAAGCAAGTAGGTAAGCAAGGATGGATGAACTGTTGAAAGGAGGAGCTGCTGCTGTGGGAGCTCTTGGTGCTCACGTCACTACTGAGAACTGGAACTAGAGGAAAGCAGGAGCAGGGGGCAGTGTGCAAGTGTTCGACCCCTTTATGAGTAGATGCTCCCTTGTGAAGAGCTGCAGGGAATCACAGCAGGCTCTCAGAGGAAGAAACACTACTGTGCAAATAGTCTCCTACTGCAGTGTGGGTAGTGGGTAGCTGCTCTATCCTGTTGAGTGGATGCTTCCTTGTGAGGAGCTGCACAGAAACGTGGCAGGGTCTCAGAAGAAGAAACGCTGCTGTGCAGGTAGTCTCCTACTGCTCCTTATTTCTGTGTGTTAACAAAGCTTGGCAATGCAGGGCTTGCTGTTGTGATAGCTTGGGCAGCAGCACACACATGAAACAAGCAAGCTGCCTGCCTGGGCTGGGGACCAGGAGGTGTCAAGATCTCCCTACAGACCAAACTCAGAAGGTGCCTTGGACTCCACTGTTACAGAGTTGTTGGGCTCCAGGTGTTTCACAGCAGCTTAACCATACAGATAGTCACGGCAGTGTTACACTCTTGCACACACAGCGAAGGTATCTTGTTGCTGTGTGTGGAAGGCTCTGTAACATGCTGTCCTTCAGCTCCCCTGCTGCCTTCCCTGTGTTCACACCTTTTCTCCAGAGCTTCTGCTGCTGCTGACCCCATGAATGTGACCCACCGAGGGAATCCCCAGGGCTCTGCTGGTTGCACGTGGCACTGGGCCATGAACCATAGCGTTGAAAGCCTTCTGCAGTGCTGGGGCAGGGAGCGGCCGCTGCTCCTCAGTCGTGCCGAGAAAAAAGCGGAAAGGCTGGTGGTTTGTCAGCATGGAAACAGGACTGCCTGGCCCAGAGCAACGGAGAGAGCGTTGTGCCCAGGCCCTCCCCAGGCGGTTTTATGAACAAATCTTGTGGTTTTTTTTAACAGTTAAAAATTTTGCCTTACTGCACTGCTGTTAGCGCTTTTGCCGGGGGGTGTTACTGTGAGTCCGGCTCAGCCACCCCATGCTGCAGCCCTGGGCCGCAGGTCGCGAAGGCAGGGCTGCTCCGTGCGGCATGGCAAAGAGCACAATAAACTGTGCAAGTTTTAGGAGTCGTTTGCCTGCTCTGTGTTGAACAGGGGCGGAGGGAGGAGTGCAGTCTGTCACCTGGCGCTCAGGGTGTGACCTGTGCTTTGCGGGAGTCCCAGGGCTGGTTTTACTTTTGTACAGGGAGGGGACAGTGCAGGCATATCGCCACCAGGAAAAGTAGCTCCAGGCCAAGTAGCTCCGAGCCGAGGGGCTGGGCTTAGTCAGAAAGTAACTAGCAGGCTCTGAACAGCACCAAAGGGCAAACAGGAATGCAAAATGTGGCTACTGGGAAATACGTGGAAGGCACTGGGAACACCAGAGCTGCAGATAGGTCTGCCCAGCAGATGCTCACAGTCCAGCTCAGGAAGCAGTCACTGCCCAAAGAAGTGCCCCCCCCCGAGGCATCGCCATGGGGTAACCAGGGGAGGTGTGGGGCTGCCAGCACCAAACTGGGCTGACTGGTGTGTTGTGGCTATGGAGAGGACAGGCAGAGGTAATTGCAGGTGTGTCTTCCACTCAGCACCCATTTTGCAGCTCCCTCCTTCCTTCCCCAAAATAGAAAATAAGTTGCTTGTCAGGAGGGAGGCAGTGCTGGCTGCAGTGACAGGAGGTGACAGGACTGCAGCTCAGAGCTGCAGGCAGCAGCTGAGCTTTGTGGCTGTGCCCAGGGGCCTGCTCCGGGGCTGGCTCCTGCTGGGTCTCCTGGGAGGCAGCTCCCAAATTGGCATGCAAAAGCAGCCCTGAGCAGGGATAATGGTGTACAGGAGGGCACGCGGTGGGTGAAACACACTGAGCATCCTTGCTCCTAAACAGAAAGGCATGCAAATGCTTGGTGGATCTTCAGTATACATTTATGGCCTTTGGCAGAAAGGAAAATTGTGGCAGCTCAATTCTGAAAGAGCCATGAAAGATTTTACTCCCTTAAGGTCTTTTTTCTTAGAATTGAAGGGAGACTCCTCATGTGAATGAACCCTCACAGCTGGCACATCTCCATGGCAAGATGGGATCCTGCAGCACTGAACTCAGTAGGTGCCCACGCCATGCATGCTGGTGTTACGTGGAACCCTGGCAGGAGATGGGGCCAGAGACAAGGACTGAGACAGGATGGCCTTTATGGGAGCAGGCAGAGACCAGATGCCTGGTCCTGAGCTTTAATGATGCTCCTGGTACAGGGTGCCAGGTGAGATGTTGGAGCCACCAGGCCCCCCTGTCCTCCACAGCTCCCTGATGGGGCCCAGTGCCAGCCATGCCAAGCGCTGGGACACTCAGCTGGGACTCCTGTTGACAGAGCCTGATGGGGTCATTGGGTGCTGAGTGGGCAGCCAGGACCCATGGATCTGCAGTGGGTAAGGAAGCAAACCCTGAAATCCCCCCATGGAGTGCTGTGGGACCAGGCTCTATGCAGCAAGGCAGAAAGAAGCCACTGTGCCATCTTGCTAACATGCAGGGTGCTGCCTTGCACCTTTGTCTTCCCTGTCTGATATTTGCATAAATGGAAAGTCCTTCCGCAGCACAGGCTCACCTGGTACCGGCTGTTTGGGAACATAGGTATTGGGTCAGTAGCAGCAGGAGGCCAGCGCAGTTTCACTGCAGTCCCTTACTGTTCTGCAGCAGCCCCAGGCCATGGCAGGGACACCACAGCCCAGTGTTTCCCTCTTTCTGCAGTCATCAAGCCCAGCTCTCATGGATCACCAGTTCTCCCAGCTGCCCAATCGTTGAGTGCAGCCCAAGGCCGTGCATCCCACAGCAGGGCAGAGTGCCCTGTGCTGCCCTGCAGCTGCGCCATTCCCGCTGCACTGTGTTGACACTTAACACAGCTATTGCAACAGTTGTGTTGCAAAGAGCAACACTGACCATGACCTGTTGGTTGATCCCAAAACAAGGGATCCTCACGCTGTTGGTGCACCTGCCCACTCATCCCAGCTCCACGAGGCTGCAGGGCTCCACACCCAACCCTGCGTCATACTGACACGCTGGTGGAGGCACCGGGGGCTGGGGAGGGGCCAGAGCAGGTGAACATTAACCTGGGGCAGTGCGAGGTGTCTCCAGCAGCGCAGCACCCCAGGAGCACACAGGATGAGGGGACTCCGTGCCCACTATCACCTCCTGGTAGGTCTGACCCCGAGGGCGCTCATGTGGGGCTGGAACACGTGGTTGGGCACTGCAGGGCCACCCCTATCTCTTCCCTTTGTCCCCTGCTCCCCAGGGGTATTTTCTGCCTGCTGCCACTTCGGGGAGCCTGGAGTAGCTGCTTGCTTCTACCCTGCTGCCCTCCTACATTCAAGTGGGTGCACGGGCTGTGCACACAGCTGCAGATGGCCGAGGCTAATCACCAGCTTCAGCCTGGCCCGAGGTGCATCTGTGTCCTGGTGCACAGGGCCAGGGAAAGATGCAGCTGAGATTGACTGCAGTGAACCCTTCCACTGGGACTGAGCTTGGAGGCTGTGGAAGCCTCTGCTGCCTCCTCTTCCTCTTCCTCCTCCTCCTTTCCCCATCTCCTCCCTGGGCAGCCCGCACCCTTGAACTTCTGTGCCATGTTAGAACTGCCAGGCAGGGTGCCAGAGCATGCCATGGAATGGCGGTGTGTGTTGGGAGCGGGGCAGGAGGCTCAGCCAGTTGCTCATCCCTGGGGTCTGCGTGACCTTCGAGCCTCTTCACCTGGCCCCTGCCCTCTGCATGGGGTGGGAGAGCCCCTTGTGGTGCAGGTTTGGGGGTGCTGCCTCGTGGGGTTCCAGGGGAGTAATCACTTCCATCCACCCCCAGCCTGACCAGGACGAGGAGCAGCCCACAGAGTGCACGGAGCCAAACAGTGAGGAGCAGCCAGGCTGGGAGGGGGCTCCGGTGACACCCCCAGCCCCAGAGGAGCCATGCAGGCTGGTGCTGAGCACGCCAAGCAGCATCCTGCAGGAAAGGGAGATTGAGGAGGTGAGGGATCTTTGCATGCTGGGAACCGGTCCGGTGAAAGGCTGGTGGGTGACATCACCTCTATCCCCAGGGAGCAGAGGCAGCCAGCAGGGCTGGCACTGCCAGAGAAGGGGTGCCAAGCACTTGGAGCCCCACGTGTGTTCCAGCACAGTGCATCCATTACCATCCCCCTGCATGGTTTCCTGCGGAGGGCAAAAGGGGGTCACACATGGATGGTTCATGAACTGCAGCTCCCCAAGAAGCCACAGAGGGGTGCCTTTGGGTGACAGCCCTGGAGGTGTGAGGCCCCACACCCCACCAGTGTGTCGTGGTGTAGCTCATCCTGAGCCAGCTGCCTGCTCTGCTCCTCCCTGAGCTTGTTCTCTGGCCTTCTGCAGGGGGGCTCAGGGTGGGGATTTTTGCAGAGACCTTGGGAGGATGCCGGGAGGCTGGCAGGATGGTCAGAAGGACCTCTTGGGAACAAATGCTCAGGGTGTTGTCTGGGGAACGTGGCTGGTGTTGGGAGAATGCTCGGGGACACCTTTTGGGCACATGCTATGGGTGAAGATGCTACAGGGTAAGACTGCTATGTGGGGAGAGGATGCTGGGGGTGAGGGTGGTGGGGTTCATTCCAGCTGGGTAGGAGGTGGCTGGGAGCACTTGCAGCCCTGCCGTCCTGCTGCAGGTGGGCAGGGAGGGTTGGGGAAGCAGGGCTGGGGGACAAGCAGGGGCTGCTGCCCAGGCCAGGACTCTGCAAACAGCAGCATGTGGCGGGGAGCTGCCTGCCAGCCCCTCTGAGCCTGCTCTGCCCCAGCTGGGCCCCCACCTGCCCACCCGGCTGCAGCAGGAGCCCTGGAGCCTGCTGTACTGCACTGCGCGGGATGGCTTCAGCCTGAGGACCCTGTACCGGTGCACCGGCCAGCTGAGCTCCCCGGCACTGCTGCTCATCCGTGACACCGAGGCTCAGGTACGGCTGGGAGCTGTCACCCGGTGGCACCAAAAGTGGCTTCACCTGCACCTGATGCTGTCCTTGTTGTTCACTGGATGGGAATGTGCCACGTAATCCCGGTACAGTTTGTGACCCCACAGCACCGGCATCTCTCTCCTCTCCCTTTGCCAGGCCTTTGGTGCCTTCTCCACCAGCCCCATTCATGTGAGCAGTGGCTTTTATGGCACAGGGGAGACATTCCTGTTCTCCTTCTCCCCGGAGCTAAAGGTAGGGGCTGTGGGACCAGAGGAAAGGGGGATCCTGGGGACCAGCAATGCTCCACAGCCTGCCCTGCTGGAAGGACTAGGAAGTTCGGAAGGGTCTGGGGAACAGTCCAGGGTAATGCAGCTGCACTTGTCTGTCCACAAGCAAAGCTGCTAGGCCAACTTGCCCCAGGTCCCAATCAATATGAAGATCCACCCGTGGGACTGGTGGCATCAGCAGATGGCAGCTGTTCCCTGGAGGGGGGAGGACAGCAGCGAAATGGCACCCACACCTTGGGCAGGCCTCTCTATGGACTCTGAGGCTTCAAGCCATGACCGACGGGCACAGAGCCCTGCGTGTGGGCAGGACAGGGGCAGGATGGGGACAACCCCACATGGCTGCTGTCCCCACAGGTGTTCAGGTGGACGGGCAGGAACAGCTTCTTCCTGAAGGGAGACACGGACCTGCTGATGGTCGGCGGGGGCAGGTAGGGGCAGCCTCAGAGCTCACGTGGCCGAACGGGCTCAGCAGGAGGGGCCCGACTGAGCGCGGCCTCTGCATGTGCCAGCGGCAAGTTTGGGCTGTGGGTGGACGGGGATCTGCACCACGGAGGGAGCTGCCCCTGCGAGACCTTCAACAACGAGAGCCTCTCAGCGCGGGGGGAGTTCTGCATCCAGGACCTGGAGGTGTGGGGCCTGGCCTGATGGGCAGCGGTGCCACAGGACGTGCCTGAAACTATGGTTCTTGGAGCCGACAGAGCTGTGCCCCGTCCTGCAGGCACCGGGAAGGGCGGTGCGGACGGAACCCTGCGGGATGCCGGCCCTGCAGCGGGGTGCTGTGGTGCACACGGTGCCCCGCAGGGCCAGCCCTGCCTGCAGCACCTTTGGACACAGCCTGGCAGAGATGGGCACGGCCCCCAGAAGGGCACGAGTCAGGAGCCGTGTGTGTGCTGGGGGAGAAGTGAGCACCTGGGACGGCCCTGTCCTACCAGCTGCTGCCCTCAGGACAGTGGGAGCGGGGCTGGTGTGTGAAAGGCTGCTGGCCACCAATAAATGGGAAGAGCTGCGCTCTGAGCCTCGTCCTTATTGCCAAAATAACAGTGAAGCTGTATACAGAAAGCAGCAGCTTCAGGTAAAACCTGTGTTGGAAATATCCAAATACTGTATCAGGACGGTATCTCTGATAAAGCAGATTTTATTGCAATTTCGATGGTGGGCCTCCTGCAAGCAGGAAAGCACCCAGAAAACAGCGTTCCATTTTTATTTCCTATTGCCCGACGCTGATCTCTTTCTCCCCTGGTTCCTCGTTGGCTGAGTACTTTAGGTTCACAATCTTCTTGACGCTTCACTGAACATGCAAATACTGGACAAACATAAATCTTCGTTGTCTGAGCGTAAATCTCTAATTAATTCATTAACTTCTAGCCCTTTCTCCACACTAGGTCCTTGTTTCTGGGTATCTGCTTGTCCTCCCTTGCATAGAGATAAGCTCGGAAGGAGGACACTGGGGAGGATCTTGGTGCCTGTCACGTCCCAACCTTCCCACGGGGTGACACAGCCCGGCCTTGTGCAGAGGCCCTGTCCTCTTTGATGTTTGCTAAATCTGTTTTTCTTTTGCTGGGAGTTTCTTAACCTAGGAGAACAACCCTACAGTATGTTTTCTAAACCCTAACACTATACCCACATTGTTTGGAACATTTAACAACTATTGCAATTTTGCAAGAAAGAATTAACCACGTAATTCGGTAATTATGTTCTGAAATGTTACAGAATACAAATGCATTATGTTCTACTTCTTCCAACCAATTGCCTTTTTTAATATCTAACGCAGAAACAACATTCCATTCCCGCTCCTGTAATTCGATGGAGCTTGGTTCCACCCATCACCCAAACTGCACTGCTTGACTTTACCCTGTGCTCATCGGCAATGAACCTCACCAGACTCTTTGGTCTCCCGTGGCCGAAGATACGAGTGAGGAGTTCTGAATCCCCGTGAAATAAAACAGCTCCCTGTTGCTCTGATGGGCTCACGTCCAAGTGAAGAATTTTAGCAAAGCTACCAGCCCAGAGGTGCTGGGGCTGGGTGGCAACAACTGCTTTTTCCTAAGTTCTGCAGGATGCTCTGTGGCTCCAGCTGTGCTTGGCCCGGTCCCGCAGTGTATCCCCTTCACACAGGCCTCACACAGACCTTACAAACAGACCCAAGAAGCCCGAGGCCCCTCCTTGCCCTGCCCCAATGTCCACCCACGGCTCGGCTCACGGTGCCCCCACGCTTCATGTTCTCCTGTGCGGGGAAAGCTCTGGCACCCACACTGGGAGGCCACCGCCGCCGTGACACGTGGCACCATGGGGACGTTGGGGCGTCTGCCACCAGAACCCCCAGCCAGTGCCATCAGGTTCTGCGTGCATCAAGCAGGGCTGGCCCTGGCTGGGCTCGGCCACGGAATGTCCTGCAGGGGGAGCGGCTCTGGCTGCTCTGTGTCTCCCTTCTTTGGCAGGGCTGACATCTCCCTGCCCACCTTTCCCCAGGCGCTTGGGGCAACGGCCGACTGCGACTGCTTTAAGTCTGCTGGGAGGGTGGCTGAGGGAAGCTGCGCAGTGTCACGGTATTCCAACAGAAAGTGCTGGGGAGGAGAGGGCTTCTGTGCATTTGTGAATCCAACAGCAAGGAAAATGCCACCCATCAGCTCCACCCGCACAGAACGACCAAAGTGCAGCCGCCCTTTGATCCCCAACTCACCCACTCCAGGCTGAAGGTGACACAGATCCTGCAGGCAGCAAGGAACGGCAGCTGCGCACATGAACCAGTCCCAGAAAGGGCTGCTGGGAGGGATGGGAGTCCAAACGAAATAGGCCTTAATAATAGAGGAGCCGGGGATGGCCTTAAATGTTCTGATAGACCTTTTCAGAGGGCACATTCGCCTTCAGCAGTTCAAAGCCTTGTGCTCCTGGTTCACGGTGTGCAGCAATGGGCAGGGACACCACACGGCACCCGCAACTGGCTGCTGTTGGACCAGCAACCTTTTCCCTGCTCCTGCCCTTTCCTTACAGCAGGACCCTAGGCTGAGTTTCTAGTTCATCTCTCAAAAGGAAATAGAGGCAACTGCTCTACCACCGATTTCAGGATGTTCCACAGTTTACTGACGGTGATACGATCCCCTGGAGCCTCCTCTTTAGCAGGAAGACCATCCCAGCACTCTCCTCATGGAAAGATGCTCCCACCCCCCCCCCCGGCAGCTTGGCGGTTCTTTCCTGAGTCCAATTCCGTATCACTGAGGAGCCCACACCTGGACACTGTGGCCTCACCAGGGCCTTTTCTGCAGTGGCTTTCCAAATGGGTGCTCCCCTGCATGCCCTGGTACCTCCTGCTGTTCTTCTCCGGAGGCAGGACTGTGCACTTCCCCTTGTTAAAATCCATGAGCTGCCCAACATCCACTTCCCCAGCCTGTCCAGGTCCCTCTGGATGGCTGCACGGCCTTCAGCTGCATCAGCTGCTTCTCCCGCTTTGGGATCCTCAGCACTTGCTGAGGGCTCAGCTCCATCACCCAGATCATTAGCGAGGCAGTGATACAGGCCTGGACCCACTGCTGACTCCTAGCATGAACCACAGGATGGCTGCGATTGTTCCAGCTTCAAGCAGATCAGCAGGGGAACAAAGGGGCCATAGGCATCTCAGCTTCGTATTATCTGCAGATGAAGCTGCTTCGTGAACAGCTCATGAGCCCAGAACAACTCTAATCTGAACTTCTTTAATGAGCTCATCTGCATCAGTGAGCACCACCGGGTCCAGCCACCAGTTGGTTTGCCTAATACCTGCACCAGGGTCACACTTCACACCTCTCCCCTCAGGGCTGGGCCTTCCTGCATTGCTCCACCAGCCGTGGGTGCACCAGCTCTGCGCTCTCCCTGGGCTGCCCACCTGCCTTCTGCAGCCCTCCTTTGCAATGCCCTGCAGCAGCAGCCTCTGCTCTGAGCACACGACGCATCCCCAGCAGCCCCACACTGCCCTGCTTGAAGTGGAAGCACGGGGAAGGAGAGGTCTGAGTTCTGGAACCCAGCAGCACGGAGTTCTACCCATCAGCCCCACCTGCACACAACGACCAAATTCAAAAGGACTTTAATCCTCCTAACTCCCCCAAATCATTTCTAGGCACCTTCAGAAGTTCATTGGGCTGCTTAGCCCTGCACAGTGAGACTGCTGTTTTTAACAAAGTTCACACACTGCAATTCACTGCAAGAATATTAAAATCGTTGTTTATTAATTTATTTTTCAGCACAGAAAGGCTCAGATTATGTCTGAGAAAAAGAAAAGAGTCCCAACTCTACCAGATGTTAAGTTCTAAGTACAAAGTTTTTGCTTAGTTTTGAGCAGAAAGCTTTTCCCAAATATAAAGTGCACCTTTTATAACAGCATCAAAACAAACCCAAGGAACAGTGATAGAATTACATTATTTTGGAACAGTACTTGATTTCACTTAGATAACGAGGATAAATGCCTTCACTCTGTAACATTATTCCTTGAACCATAGAACAAGTACTCCAAAAGCTTCTATAAAGGTCCCCCCACCTTCCAGCAGTAACGTGGTACACTGCAGCTGTGAAATGCTATTAACAGGAACAGCAGAGGCGGTGCTGTATCACCATTAAACACAGGCTCACAAGCAGCTGAGCGCAGAACAACAACTGGCTGCTTCAGACCACATCTGCAAAGCAGGCCAATACCTCCTCTCACGTCACAGCCATCAGCCTCCAGCCCAAGGAAGCAACCAGATGGGAGAAGAGTGACACCATCTTCTCACACAGCAACCTCGAGTTAGCTTCAAATGCTTGGCTGTCAAGACTGAATGCTGAGCTTCTATATCCTCTCTTCAGACACAGAAATCCAAAGCTCTTTTCCAGTTTCTGAGCACTAAAGAACACTTTACTTCGCAGTTTTGAGGGTGAGAACGCTTTACTTAGTAGTTTTGAAGGTGGGTTTTTATTAATTAACTTCATTTAAAGAGAGCAGCCTTCAAAGAGAACACCTCAGACCTGAGTATAACAGGGAAGAAGTCTTCCTTGTTTGCTTTTTGATGGGACAGACACCTAGGAACACTCACACTAGTACTGCCCATAGGGGAGAGTGTAAGAACCCTTATTGTCTGTAAGGGAGATAAAAAGTACACCAGAACAGCAACCACCAGGCCAGGAAAACAGGGACGGGATGCAATCATGGAAGGGTTCCTGAAGAACCTGACCACCCAGTGCAGAGAAATGCAGAAACAGCCTGTGCTGGGAGCAAGGAGAAGCAGAGCCACTGCTGGGCCACCACTACACTGAGAGCCAGCACGGAGCTCTGCTTTCCTGCAAGCACCCCAAGCACAGAGCTGTTGAGGAGTTCTGCAGTTCAGTGTAGCAGTTAAAAAAAAAGTTACATTCAATGTATCAAAAATATGCTATAAAAACAGTAAAATGCTGTGTGCCACTGCAGGGCAGTGCTACTTCAATACAAGTTGTGTGGTCACTTTCATAGCAAGAGGCCTGCATCCCATCAGCTTTCAACACCACAACTGTCATCTTCAATAAAAAGATCGTTACAGAAAACAAGAGGTGGTGGAGTAACAAAGATTAAAGGAGAAGGAAGTTTTTCCACCAGCTCCAGGAACGCTGCAGCTGCCTCCAGAAGGGATCAGGACAAGCAGTATCAAACCCACTGCACTTCTGGCCATTATGATGAATGGTCTTTTTAAATGAAGTTCCTCTTGCTACAATAGCACCAATACATTCAAAAATACACGAGAACTGAGCTCGCTTTGCTGTAACAGGTTCTCTGTTAGCTTTGTAGCATTTCAATCCAAATAAGCACTTAGTTTAAGTGCACACATAAAAGCACATGGTATTGTAAAATGCACTGCTGCATTCCTCTATTTTTTTTTTTTACAGTTCATTGGATCGCATTTTAAAAGAGCTGCTGCTCAGAGCTGCCCGTCTTCTGAAGGAGGTGGTTGAACAGTGCAAAAGGAGACACCTTACTTATTGAAAGAAAGCTTCTGCTTGCAGCTGGGCTCTGAAGCTGTCACGTATTCATCCCTGCTTCTGTTATTCCAGCTTTGTTTCAGTGGAGTTAGATGAGGGGCAATCACATCACCATCCTGTCATTGAAAGTCAGAGAGCATTCATGACAATGCGTCCATTTTCACTCGCTGTGCAAAGCAGGGAAAAGCAGCTGGCTGCCAGACTGAGCACCGATAAACACAGCGCTGCACAGCAGCGAGCGTGGAGAACTGCACTCAGAGATGGAAACTGCTGCCAGTAAGTGGTAGAAACGGGTGGGGAGGAACAATTCCCCGCTTATGGGAGAAACCTTCACTGCTCGTATTTAACCTCTTCCTAAATTGACAGCAGCAAACTCAGGAAGCTCAAGAGGCTTCTATTATGGGCACTGGTACACAGCTTGGAAACATTACTCTAAGTTTCTATCACATTACTCTAAGTTTCTATCACGTTACTGTAAGTCTTTGCTCTGAATTCCCCAGCCTCACATTAAAAAGCTTAGGAAAAAAAAAAAGCTTAAAAAAGCTTTGCTTAGCACCTACCAAGCGCAGTTGCACCTCGCCACCTTAGGGTGCATCCCATACAGTAACTGCTGTGGCCTAGGCTCTGTGCTCACACTTGTCACACACGTATGTTAACCTCATGATCAAACACTGCAAGGGCAGGGCAAGCAGAAATAAGCTGGGACTGCCATGGTGCAGTCAGACACCCCTGACCTGCTGTGCTCTGCAGGCTGTGAAGGCAGCCTGCTATGTGACCCCTTTGC